TTTCGGGGTTCTGTCAGTTACGTCGTCACCATACATGATCGTGTCAAGAGCGACCGCGGTTTCGTCCACAGCGGTTGTGGCGATGACAATCACACGCACTGTAAAAGACAGCGCATGCGTTGGTCGCACGCGTACTTTCGAAGCTTCGAGTACGCTGCTCTCGGCCTTCCTTCGACGGTTTTCGTACTAAAGTACGTATCACTCACCGCAATTAGGAAATGTGTTCGGAGTGTTCGAATCGAGGCCCAATGAACATTGTAGAATTTGGCTTGGGGATTTTCAAGAATTCGTATCAGCCACGGTTTCGTATCACTGAGATTATACTGTTCGTTTACATGAACGCATCTTAAACTCATAATAAAAGGGGGTAGGTTCGAAAAGCCTGGGGCCGATTGAATGTCAATGCGGTCAGATCACGCACAGAAATTTCGATTTCCAGGAAATTTTCATGACAACCATACAACTAAAAAAACGGCAGAAATCCGGGAGTCTCCTGACCAATCCGGGAGACTTGGCAGGTATAATATCTCTCGCGCAACCCGTCTTGAACGAGCATGAAACAACACAGGAACTGGGGGGGGGGATCGCTTTAGTAGCAATAATGAACTTAGATTTTAAGGACGGTTGCGATCGCTGGTGCCCTTGCTATCTAGGCGGGTACCAGTGTGGTTTCAACGCGAAAAGACTGTGTGAAAATAGCACTTCTCCCTGAAGCAGCCGTATTTGCTCACACCAGCATTTTGTAGGAGTTTCACTTTATCCGATCCAAAAGAGTTGGCTGGCAGCCTTACTTCTTATAACGTTACAGTTTTTCGCTATCACGTTCATTGCATTGTATTTAATGTGCCGTCGTCTAGCCAGAACTAATTAGCTAATCGCGAAAGCTACCAGCCTGCGAACGCACACCGAGGATCAAAACAGAAGCGCGTGACAAGTCGACCTCCGAATATCCGTCGTCACCGTACTCTCGAAGAGTTTCTATCAGCGCCTAATCTGACATCTTGTCGGTGGTGACGACATGGTTTTCTAAAATTAAGAAAAGCTAGTTTCGCTGCAAGGGCGAAGCAATGAATGCGATAGCAACTTGGAATGTAATGCTGAGAACAGCAAGCATGTCGACGAGTGCAGCGCACTGCTCACGCACAAATTACGCACGAAAACAACATACACAGGACGAGAGCAAACTAACGTTTACCGCTTTACACTTAACACGCTGGTTAAACAAAAATGAGGCACGAAACGTAATTCCAAGTACAGATATGAGCGCAAACTAACAAGTGCCCCAGTTCTTACTTCGCTGTGTGTGCATAGCACACTCTTTTCGCAAACAGCACCTGTTCAGCACAGCGAGCAAAGTGATCTTCGTGCACCGGGCGACTAAACGTGATTGCTCCGGTTGAAAGCACGCGATTTTCCCCACCAAAGAATAAGCGCACGCTCAAGCATCTAAACCCCCTCCCCCTTTCCGGTGCAAAGTACGCGTGTGAGATAAGCGCGCGTCGGCGCATCGTGATGAGCTGGGAGCCAATCGCGAGCGGCTTTTAAAAAAAATTTTTGAGTTTTCATATATAGATACTTATACATATACGATGAATGACATCGACGGAGGCAAAATACCAGCCGAGACTGTCCATATAATTGTTGTTTCAATAAAAAAAAAAGGAACTCTGATTGACGTCGGTTGCCACACTATGCACGCACAGTGAAACTATGCACCCGCGCACGGCATCGAAAATAAAGAGCGAATGACACGGACACAGATACCACGGAAAACTATTTGGTAAAGCACCCTCCTTATGCAGTGCGGCCCCACATATGTGACGCTAACTGAAATCCTGGCACTGCCTACGCACAAAAATAGTTTGCCTTTTTTGTGTTTTGGTTCAAAGGGGGGGGGGGGGGGCACAACCGCGCAAGCTCCAACGGCGGCGAGAACAGCGGCAACGCTGGCTTGTGGCGTGCAGGCCCACCTGCCCAGCCTGCCCGCCCCGCGCTCACCTGCGCGCAATAATGAGTGATGCTCGCCCTTGCCAGGTCCACCGCTGCCGCATCGCGCTTCGTCGCCGGCAGGGCAGCCGCGAAAGCTGCACGCTCGTACTAAAGTGCCAAACTGAGGTGCATAATTTCTAGATTGTTGTGGGGAAAATTCGTTATATCAATGTTGTCTCCCACTGTTGCTTTTTTACATAGAGGTCGCAAATATATGTGCTTCTATGGAGCAACGACAAGGAATATAAACTTTGTTATATCGAAAAATTCGTTATATGGAGGTTCGTTATAAGCAGGTTTAACTTGTATACCTCACGTAAACATGGCACGTGGTGTCTCTGTGTCTCTAAAATACGAAAAAGCGCCTATTCACGCAGCTCTTGCTTCGTGATGTCCTCTGGACACCACTAGGCCTCTTTAGACATGAAAACAATCAGTGAAAGATGAAGATGTTACTCGGCATTGTCTGTGAAGATTATAGCACGACGCAGGAATTGTGCCAGTGGGGTGTTTCCAGATTGCACAGATTTCCATCTGCTATGAAAAACGTCGAGCTCGACCGCTAGTGGACAATTGCAATCAACACGAAAAACGATGAGCCCGATAAAAGAATACGAGTAAATATACTTACTGCGTGTATGTAGGCATGACACCAGCTATTTAATTTCGCAGCAGTAATTTCGGTGCAGTACGCCTGTAGTATGCTAGACCAAATCATTGCCACACTCTTTCGCAGGCCGCATGTCAATAATATGAGATATTAGGCAGTCTTGAATAATGTACGCTAAGTTAGAGGGTACTGTGGGTGTAGCATTTGCGTTCATTACTCAATAGATGCCCACAAGAGATGAGTGTAGTATGCATGTGCGACACTATTCGAAATTACCCTATTACAAATTATGCGTGCATGCACACACTTTGCACGTCGAGTACAAATTTAACCGTGTACTATCGCGATGCTAAGAAACATGCGTGCGTTTCGACTCAGTCCAACTGCTACATGCTCTGACTGTCGGTAGGCAAATCTGTGCTGTCAGGCGGCGTCACCGTAGCAGTATAAAATCGTACTCTGGCTGGCACTTTGCCACCACATGTGTGTTCCGAGTGCCAGACATGATTGGCTAATAGTAAACACATGCGGTGCATGGCGCAAGCTGGAGCAGGCTTCTAGTGCTACGGTGACGCCAGCTGAAGGCACAAGTTTTCTTTAGTGACAGCCGAAGCATACACCAGTTCGACTGAGTCGAAAACTACGCTTTCCGCTGTTTCAATCCCGATAGTATGCACCTGATAAAGTTGCTTCCATAAACTACAATGCAGGTGCTGTAGATATTCTGGACTGTCGAGGAAAGTCTTCTCGATGTTTCACAAGAAAAAGGCACAAATTTTCAGGAGTGGAAAAGCGCGAAGCATGCTTACAGCGGAACTCAGGTTTCACTTGAATTAAAGAGTGTCTGCTGGCACAGCAGTTCAGGGTGTTGCTTCGCCATGCTTACGAAAGATGGTGTGACGTGCTGCCGAAGTATGGTAGCACACACTGAACTTGCTGTGTTATGGTGTATAATTCAGATAGTTCGGTGAAACATAGCCATAACAAAACTGCTATTGAGCACAGTCAATACGGGAGCTAAGACGCCATTTCCGCCCCAAATTTCTCCAAGCCCGCAGGCTGCACCAAAGTTCATGACTGGGCAACCCTCACTCAGTCGTTCCTTTCTCCGTGGGCTATAACTAGAGCCAAAGGCAAAAACCCTTTTCCTGCTAGTCTAGGCTAACCCAATGTCAATGCCTCTCCGCACGAACTGTTGTACCTGAACACCTTTGGATTGCAAGACCTGAACACAAATGTCCTTTGTGACATCACTGGTAGATGGGCACATTGTGATCGAGTCAAGACTGGCTCTGGCAGTAGTGGTGCTGGCAAAAAAGTGAGAAATGCAAAGGAGTAAAGCACAGGTTATCGGCCCCTAGTGACAAAGGCCAGCCACAGACACAATTGCTTTATTCCACAACAAAAGGCAAAACCTCGTAATGAAAAATTTACAACGATTGCATGATGTCATACGTGGTTTTTAGTAAGGTGCAGTTATACCAAGCTGTTAAAGATACAAATAGATTTTCTAGAGAAAGGGTGCACATAGCGCTACCTGAGCAGAAAAGAAGCTGAAAAAAAAACTGAGTTAGGGAATAATTGCACTAAGCTGAAATTTCGGCACAGCTTGGAGCAGCAAAGGCAGCTTCGCAGAGTGAAGTGGCACAGTACAGGTGTGGAAACTCCTGTAATAGCTCCGAAAAGTTGATGTGGCACCTCCTTGCGGAAAGGCAGAATAAAGTAGCAGCATGGACTCTTTTGGTTCCCATCATGTCGCACCATTAAAATGCCCTCTTTTAACACTGCTTGTATTGATTTTTTGCTCGTCTCGAGCTACACATGAATGACAAAAACTGCAGCGAAAACGATTCTGGTGAAAGAAAGACTATAAATCCATTTGTGCAATTGAAAATTTTCCCCATAATTCGTCGCATATACTACGAAAGCAGTGATGACGCTTGCATTGTTGAGTCACGCCAATAAGCTCAAGAATGCAAGCTCATTCATGGCCACAGTGCCCGCATTCCAATGAGGCTCCAACATTCTTTGAACTGTTTCCTTTATCTAAGCAGGTGGTGAAGAATTTGGAGTGTGGTACAATTGAAGAACATTGGTTTGCTGATGCTTTTACATTTTAGTTTACTTTCAATGAAATTGAGAGCGTACCTCTTTTACCTTGTCAGATCAGCATAGACAAACGAATGAGCAATTACCATACTATGGCAAAAGAACGGAAACGCAGCTGGCACAGAAAGAGGTGACCATCGGCAGAAGAGCAGCTGAGCTCTTGCTGTGATGTCACAATGCCAGAACTGCAGCGATGCCAGTGTTCAATCTTGCGGCTAATACAAATACACGCACATGACAGGTGCTCCAAAATAAGAGACACCAACACTGCAGACCAAAAAAGCTTAGCTACCTGGTGCTTGTGCTAGGCCCAGCTTTCTCTGTTGTCACTTTGAGAAGCCAGGCATCCAACACGCTTCGCTTTTGCTTGCTTTCCCTGCAAGTTTCAATATAAAAAAATACAAATGAATTCATGCTGCGATGTGACACCAGAGTCCTGGGTTCAAGCAACTCACCTTAGCTATACATTTATAAACAAGGGGTGCCAATGTAACCTACTTTTTCAGGAAATAACATACCTTCTGGAATGACTGACAAAAAACACAAAGAGACTTTCCACAAGCTGCTGCAAACAGTTTACTATCCACAATTCCCCGCTTCTTGAAATAGGAATGGTTACATCAGAAGTGATGTAGAAGATTATTTTTTAAAGGATACTGTAGAAGCCAGTGCAAGCGAAAAATCCAATGAACAGATGTTACACCTAATGCCAAAAGAAATTTATTGTTCCGTCATAAAGTGAATTACAGTTGCAACTGTATATGCCAGACCAATGATCCAGGTTCTGCAACGAAACTGGGGTGCCATAAGGTCTGCTGAGCGCCTGCTATTTCTGCAATGCATCCCAAAGAAGTTGAAAAAAAGCCCTTAAGGCACATTCCTGTGCTCCATGTGGTGCACATTCAAAGATCTCTCTACAGCATATAAATGTTCACACAAAAGTGCGATGTCACTAACAATGCCAGACAAAACACACTTACAAGAGTGCTTATGAATGCTACATGCAAATGGAAATACCAGACTCTAAATTCGACTCAACAAACTTGCATAATGCTGCGCATGCACACCCCGCCTTGTTTGTACTGCAATGCATCCCCAATTGGCAGCAAAAAAAACAGTTGTTGCTCACTCTAATTGATAAAAAAAAATTCTCTTTCAGCACACTGTACTAAGAATCTTCACCGTCTGCCAGGATAACAATTACTAGTTACGCTACACACTGTTACTCCAGATAGGACAAACTCTGTTTCACGATGGTGGTCTGGCCTTCAATTTATTTAAAGGGAGACTAATAAGAAACCATAAATTGGTTTAGACTGATAAACTACACTCTGAGAACTCCAATGCCATAAGTTCATTATTAGTGCAGAAGATCAAGGTTGAAGATTTAATTTAAAATTTCGTGCTGAAATTGCTGTGCATGGCATCAGAAATTTTCTGAAACTTCGTACACTATGTCTATAGCACCCACAGATGACAATGTACTTCCTTTTTATCAATGTAGGACTCGGTAAACCTTCTCAAAATTTATGACGTCATGGTGTCTGGCGAGGGAATCGCAAGGTGGCATCCCCACCCGCTTATGCTTTTTGCACGTTTTCTCACTTACCAAGCATCGTTTAACAGAAATAGAAGTTAATAAGGATGAAAGCACAACACAACAGCAATAAAAGCCTATGTAAAGCATGAACTAAGCAAGTTGTTAAGGTAGCTTATTTTGGCATTACTATCAAAATAAAACTAATTATAACCTTTAATAAAAAATAATCAAATCGATTTCATTCATCTGGTTAAGAACAGCCAGCAGCCTAAAGTTCCAATAATCAAGCAGAACATTTCCCACTTTCAACCTTGTCTATGTCTGTTCCTGCCCCTCCATAAATGATCAGTTCTCAATCACCTTGGTGATCAGCACTTTCTGAAGCACCAGTGGTGTTGTTCTCTGACGGATCCTTACCATACCTTTGCTTAGCCATGCAAATCTTTCATTTGCTGCATGGTGTGTGAAAGTACGATTGCTGCAAACACTTTGGTCCAGATTCATTGGCTAGAACTGTCGGGACATTCGTAGCTAACAATGTGGTACAAAGAATAGACACTGCTGACCACTCCACGTCCACCATAGTACAATTCGAGACCTATGGAAGCTGATGCTTGCGCCACACAACATGACCATGAGAGCATTGCTCCTGTGCCCTAGCAGTACGGCTTTTAAGACGCCACTTGCTCCACGCGATTCTCCGAGTATGCACTGGCATACTCGGAGAAGTATGCCCTGGCTCAGTGAGTATGCACTGGCATACTCGCTGAGCCATATCATATGACTGACTGGGCAGGCTTTCTGCTCAGTTTTCCATTCCTTCATGAGCTAACTAGAGTTAAAATATTAATATTTTTCAAGCAAATCTAAGGCTAACACTTCCCGGCACAAGCTGTACAAATTAATGGCGTACATGAGAGAGTCTATTTTAACTGCAACAGCTCGGGGTTCGATGATCTGTGTGCAATCATCACATATGCCGTCATTCACACAACAGTCCTGGCAAGTACTGCAATTGTTGCCAGTGTCAAGAGTTCACCTGTGTTCATAGGTGATTGATTGATTGATTGATATGTGGGGTTTAACGTCCCAAAACCACTATATGATTATGAGAGACGCCGTAGTGGAGGGCTCCGGAAATTTAGACCACCTGGGGTTCTTTAACGTGCACCCAAATCTGAGCACACGGGCCTTAAACATTTCCGCCTCCATCGGAAATGCAGCCGCCGCAGCCGGGATTCGAACCCGCGCCTTGCGGATCAGCAGCCGAGTACCTTAGCCACTAGACCACCGCGGCGGGGCGCTGTGTTCATAGGAGCGCGAGAATTTCAGCTGCGTGGTCGTCACCATTTTACATCACTACTGCCAGAACCAGGGTTGACAGCAACATGCCGTGATTATTTTTTAAAGAAAAAATATGACGCAACCAGTCGACCAACAATGTCATACATGACATTTCTGCTCAGATGCTTGAGCTATTGACGCACCCAGAACCAGGGTTGACAGCAACATGCTGTGATTATTTCCTAAAGAAAAAATATGACGCAACCAGTCGACCAACGATGTCATACATGACATTTCTGCTCAGGTGCTTGAGCTATTGACGCACAAATAGACACTACCAGCATGCACACACCTGAGTTTAGAAAATAAAAGTACTAAAATGTCATTACGACGCAGAATGGCACGATTCGTACCGCACTTCTACCCATGGTTTTACACATAAATAATCATCTGCTTTTCAAACAAATCAGACTTTAATGTGACTGCCTGTGCTGCTGATCTATTTTTGGGAAAGCTAGGGAGGGTCTCCCTGTTGGCATTGCTCCCTCTGAAATCTGTAATACTTAAACAAATGTGTCTATGCTAGCGTTATTTCATACCCACTGTGTTAGCCTAGCTGGCGAGGTGTCATCCTGCTTGGCTTGAGGACACAGGTTCAAATCCTGACGGAAGCAAAGCCCGAGAACAGCTGTGCATTTAGATTTAGATGCATCACAGCGACTGACATAGTGACGAAACGGACATAATCGGCTGTCCGTGATAAATATGTTCGCCGTCTGGCACTCAGCAAAAACTGACAGTTCTTTTTTTTTTAGAGACATGGTACGGTCGCAACGAGCTGATAGTCAACTGGCTAGTTGCGTGCAGTGCTTCGCCTACTTGGCGTAGACATGATGCCGAGCCGCTTGCGCCTACCTTCGGACCATGCTAAGAGGCGGCGAGAAGCATCTTGCATTAACGCGACGATGCGAGCTTTCTTCAAGCAATGCTCCAGCGGTCCTAGCAGCAGGTGGAGGCGCATTTGGGCTGTCACCTAATGATAGCAGCGGGCCGAGGCGCATTTGGGCTGTTGCCTCATCATTGCGTGTGCTACGCCTGCCGTCTCGGTGCCCGTGATCCACAATGCTCATCTACCGTATTTACTCGCATAATCCTCACACTCGCATACGTCTCACACCCCCCACATCGCCCAACAAAAATACGATTTTTTTTCCTCGAGTAATTATCGCACCCCCAAAAACTGCCGCAATAATGTCGTCTACTCGTTCCAGCCACTGATGATGATAGCGTGCGCCATCTCTTAAGCATCAAGCATACTATTATTGCACGGAGATTCAATCCAATCCAAGCCAAACCAAAGTGGCAAGTGCGGGTTTTGGTGTGTTTTGTATGTTGTGTCGGTAATCTTGTCACGTTATACGGCGATACTGAAGCTACACGGCTGCTTTCAAGTTGAAAGTGATAGATCATGATTTAAACATTGACAACAGGGCCGCCGGTAAGCCTTTCGGAGCATACGAGGTTTGTGTTCGCTACTGGTGACGGCATCTGAAAGGCACCAAGACGCGTTGGGCCTGCCGTGTGCCGAAAACTGGGATTGATTGCAAACTTTATTTCTTCAGAAGGAAACTGCTGACGATTCTGCTAAATAGTTATCAGCCCAATACTGCCGTCCTACGCTTACCTTTTGAGGGCTTCTGTTGAGAAACGAACGCTACTGCCACGCCCACAACGCCCACATGCTTTTCGTGTGGTATTCCAATTCTCGACTGCTTGCACTTTTTGTGTCTCAAATAAACCTTGCCTTGTGTTGAACCTGTGCTTTTATTGTTGAGGTAAGCTTTAATTAGTACTTCTCAAAGCTTGCTGTTAGTTGCTGGTGTGAGAATCCCAATTTGCGGCCACTTCGTTTTCTTTTTCGCTCTGTACGTTTTCTAAAAAGTTTTCCCCGCGTAATTCTCGCACCCCCAACTTTGCATCGGTTTTCCGCCAAGAAAAGTGCGAGAATTATGTGAGTAAATACGGTACACAACAGCGAGCTGCTTTCATTTCTGCAAAGCGGTGCAAGCAGAACATGGTCCCACGCAACGATTGAGGCGGTAGCGATCGGCGCTTCAGGTAGTCGCTAGCTACTAACAGCGTGCAGTAGGCTTAAAGGTGTGGTGCAACCAAATTTTGAGGCTATCCCAAGCTTGTTGTGGGTTTCCTCTGTATGCAAGGACTCTCCACACGAAGGGTCGAAAAAACAAACGTTTAGAATATGTTTTAAGTCACTTTTAAATGTGTCACTGAATGCCCGCTTTCACGATCTAGACCTATCGCTTGTGCAGCAACACTGACGTTTCAGAACGGCAGTGGTCGTGATGTCACACCAGATCTGTAGTGACGAATGTGTCGGCGTTTCTTACAGCGAAACAGTACGTTCGTCAAGGACGTTGGATGCCTTCAAAGAGACACTGGATGCGTCCTTGTCCGCGAGAGACGCCGCGCGCGTTCAACAGCGGGGTTGCATCGTGCTCCTTCAGCGTATCGGCGCCTATAAAAGGCCAGCG